TAAACTATGGCATATCAGCACAGAAAGGATAAGAGCTGTCACATTCTTCAACCCCCTTTTCAGGGATGAAATCTATATTGCTTTGTTAGAGATTAATTTCTCAGAGCCTATAAAATGGAGGCGATAATAATCAATCCTATTCCACAGATAATAATGGTAAAAGCCCGTAAAAATAAAAGGAGGAGGAAGTTTTGCCTTTCCTCTTGGCCTCTTACCTATGATGGTTAGCATATTTTAAGGACACAAAAGTTATACTTGCTAAATTAAAATATGAGCAACTAGTGCAGCCACAAATAGGTGATGGGGCATGAAGTTAACATACCTTGGGTTCTACCAATGGGGAGAGCTGGTTCCCATCAATACTCTATGGAATGACAAGAAGGATTTCAATTATGTGGCGAAAAAGAGACCTGTGTTAGTCACAGACAACTCAGGACCACTTGTTGGCTTAAATCTGAAAAGCTCATCTCCTCCCTTCCCATCTTCATGTCAGGTAATCACTATCCACAGCAGGAAACACAGGTCCCTGTCTAACTCCATGGAAGGATGTCCTGGACAACTGCCAGCAACATGACCATGGAGTATAGCCACTGAATGAGCCTGGGACTTCTGCTGACTCCAGCCTTTATGGTTTTCTACTGTATCAGTGGAGAGGCAGGTACACTGCTGGAGTCCAAAGGATGATCTGCAGTGTTTGAAGTCTCTCTATCAGGGCAGTTTCTTTTGGTCTCTAATGACTAAGCTCAAGAGAACTCCCTTGCGGCCCAGGATCCACCTGTGACTCTCCCCTGCAGCACCAGGTTCACCTGCATGATCAAGAGCTATCCTCGTAAAAAGGAGCCACAAAACCCTCCTGTATCTTTCTAGACTCTTACAACAGCTTGATCTCCAATATCATAAATGATCCTACATCTTATTCCTGGGATCATCTCCTTTACCCACATTACTTCCTCATTCAAAAATCTCTATGATGCCTCTAAGTGCTTTGGGGATATAGGGCTAGTATTCAAGACTTTCCCTGATTTTATCAGACTCCTGGCTTTGATATTACCTCTTCCTGCTTCCTACCATTTCCTAAAACCTGCCTGTGCCCGCCTCCACCTCTTCCTCTCATCAACTCCAGGCAGCATTTCCTGACTTATCTTGCCTCTAGGCTGCCTTGGGCCACAAATGACTGGTTTTCTCAAAATGTTCATGTAATTCCTGCCTCCCTTACAACTTCGTAAAAGCCTCTAAAAGGTTGAGACCAGGGCATCGCCTGTATTTCCCAGCACTGTGCAGGGCCCAAAGAGGTAACTCAGTCATCGTTGTGGATAGACTGATGAGCTGACCTTATCATTCACAGATTCACTTCTCAAGTCTTCTAGACTACTGGAGAGTTTTTTCTGAGTCCTGCAAAAACAAAAGAGAAGTGAATAACGCAATAGTTACCAGAGAAGGAAGTACATGGTATCATTCACCCAGAGGACATTTCAAACACTTAAGCAGTAGCCTATCTTGGGTTTAGGGCTAAGGTCAAGAAAAAAATCACCCTCTCATAATAGCCATCCCACACAAGATGAGACTGGCCCAACTTGGATGATAGTCTGGTTCAACAATGAGTTGGAGGGCATAAGGACATCACTTAAAATCAAATAAAAAGTCTTTGGAATCACCAAAAAACTAGAATACACTCAATTCTATTGCATTGATGGGAAGTGACTAAAAGATGACCAATATCTACAGCCTCTAAAGACAAGAAAGGACTGATGCTGGGCCTGTTTATGAGTCCAAGGGTAGTCCATAGAGGAGAGCTCTTCTTAGAGTGGAGATCAGCACACCAGCCAGTCATAGCTCCAGAATACCACCTGCTAGGACCTGTCCACCCTCTGCTCTGGCTCTGCATGTCCTGAGTAGTCTGCTTAGAGAGATTCTGTTCTCTCAGGAGCTATTTTGCAGAGAAAGGCACCAAAAAAGTCAAGAAAAGGCAATGCCATCAGTGGTCACAAGGACAACCTTGTGTCAAGTCTCCCTGGCAGTCATATTTCTCAGTTTTTGTAAAAAATTAGCATCTTTTATATGTTTGTCTCTTGTGAGTCTCGTCAGCATGAGTTTCTCTGTGTTGATTTCTCCTGAGTGAAGTTATACCCCCAATTTTTTATTCTGCAAAACTAAGGACTGGCCAGTCACTCTCTCTGACATTATCATTTTTCTTTGGGGCTAAAGGCTCAGGGGAACTACTATTTTCTGGAAAGTGGGCTCAGAGAGCATAGGCTCTGGCGTCTTAGTACCATCCTGAGGAAGTGTCTGCCATGCCTGTGGCCATATTCCACAGAAACCTTAGTGGAATGACAGCCTGGTGAAGCCTCCATGTCTTCCTTACATGAAGCTCAGTTTGGAAATGTATTCTAAAGCACAGACACAGGGAACTAGATTCAGATTAGTCCACTGTGAAGCATCCCCAAAGCAATAAGACTGATTTCCCTGTGAGGAGAAATGACTCTCCCTTGAGAACGTGGATTGTCAGAGGGCAAAATTTGCCCCAAGAGTAGCAAGGCCATTCTTGAGAGGCTGATGCAGACAATACACATCATGAGATACTCTCTCTCAGCACCACAGAAAGACACAGATGAGTCGCAGCCACCTGTCTTTTGAGGTTGTAACCCTGTCTACGTCTATTCTCAGAGACAGTGATCCAGACCCTCAGCCTGTGGAAAGGGAAGCCTCTCTGCAGCCAGAAGTGGGTCTTGTTTGTGACTGCCCTGGCAATGGAGGGGCAGGTAAACCTGGGACATGGCGGCCATGCTCACCATACATAGCTAATCACCGTCCACTTCAGGAGCCCCAAGGGGGGCCCTGAGAGCACAGTGACTCTGGGGAAATGCTCAGACATCTTACCTCGTTTCCAGTGATTTCTGCGGCAGTGGAGGTGGTCCCACTGTGGGAGAGCTACATCTTGGAGGCATCTGCACCAAAAACAGAAGAGTCACCAAAAGAACAGTTACTGTTTGGGGACCACCATCATCTTTTCCCCTTCTCTGGATGGAAGTTACATTTCTGCCCCTGAAAACAGCCACAGTAGATACATGGATGTCCAGCTATTTCAAGATGCCAAGGAGGTAGGCATATCAATTTATCTGGGTCAACTTGCCTCTCCTTCCTGGACCCTAGATATTAGACAACGTTCATATCCCAGCAGTAGAGTCCTGAGATCTGGGTCCCTGGGAACTTGCTGCTCTTGTCCTTTCTGAGCTTGGTTCTTCAGTTTTTCTTTCCATTCAGAGATTTAGCCACTGCTTATCCTTCTAAAAACACTCTTTTTAGTTTACATGAGCCAGAGAGATTCATACAATAGAACCAGTTTTTAAACTAACAAAAAAGAAAGAAAACCTGTATGTTGGCTATAGAGGCTACAGAAGATATCTGTGAAGCAGGAATGCAGCATTTTAGAAGCTATAGTTATCCCTCTAAAAGTGCAAGGCACAAATATGTTGAATTCTACTGGGTATCAGGATCATTATAGACCCTGGAGAAATAGTAGTAAGTAAAACAAACCCCACCTTTGGTCTGTGCTTTCCAGAGAGGAAAAACAAAAAGAACAAGAAACTTGACTAAAAAGAATTTCTTTCTTTCTTTCCCTTCCTTCCTTCCTTCCTTCCTTCCTTCCTTCCTTCCTTCCTTCCTCCCTCCCCCCCCCCCCCCCCTTCTCTCAAGTCAGAGTCCAGTGGACAGCTCACAGCCACCACACCCTCAACCTGCTGGGCTCAGGCCATCCTTCCACCTCAACCAGTTCCAGTTCAACTAGCTGGAACTAGAGGAGTGAGCCACCACGCCCGGCTAATTTTTTGATTTATTATAGAGGTGAGGTCTTGGCAAGTTGCCCAGGCTGGTCTTAAGCCCCTGGGCTCTAGGCAAGCCTCATGCCTCAACCTCCCAAAGTGCTGGGATCATAGGTATGAGTCACCGTGCCTGGCTTAAAAAGTAGAATTTCTATCTTTGGAAGTTTCAGTACCAACCACATTGCTCCCAACCAGAACAAAGGCCAGAGCCTCAGTCCCATACTCCCCTACTCCTTCCTCAAGGCCTGAGGGCCACTCCGTTGATTTAATTATTCTCCTGTCAAGATGTGTATTTGACAGGTGTCTGACTAGATCCTCCGTCAAGCTCAGGGCAAGCTCTTGGGACCAGCTGAAACCCTATATCATGGACAGAAACACAGTACCTCTTGTTTAATTAATTCTTCGGGGCCTTTATTTGCAGGGTTCCATTTTCTGAAGCTTCCCTCTAGCTCTTCATCACTGATTGAGAGTGTTCTCTCGGAAGGCCCTGGAAGCATTAATGCATGACAGGTAATCACCACTGTGTGAACTGCTCAGAAACCTATAACTGTACCACAAAATCCTGACATTGTTTCTCCTTCATTAAGAAAGACTAAGAAATATTTACAGGGACATTATAAACATGACTCATAAGATTCTTCAGGGTATCTGTGCAAGGGCTGCCATGAGGGTCACTTAAAGGTCAGAGTTCACCTGCAGAACAGAGATGAGCTAACCAATGCTTCCAAACTTCTCACCCCTGGACCACAGGCAATCAGGTCCTGGGGAGTGACTTGACCCAGATCCCAAAGTATTAGAGAAAGAGGGGCCATGTAGTCCTGAGCAGTGACTAGTCAGCCATATCCCAGAAGAGGCTTGGCTTCTTCCCAAGAAGAGTCAGGAGCTCAACCTGAATCAGAGGTTCCAGAAAACCCTTCAAAGAGCCCTCTCTAAAACAGCTGCTTCCTCCGGATCTGTGATGGGAACCCAAGGCACTGGCATAAACAACAAGGCAGGCAGCTTGGCACATGGACCACCATGCCCATGAGAACACTGATGCTGCTTGCATGCTGAATTTAGTTTGAGCAGCAAATAGGACACACAGCAGCTCTCCTTGCCCTGTGACTTTCTGCACCCAGGCACACAGTTATTCAAGGAAGGCTCCCAGAGGGCCCTCCTGGTTAGCAGGGAACTTTAGATTTCTAAGAGACAGATAAGCTCTAATCTCCAATGAGGGCACTGAGTCGATTTGATCCAAGTTTAATGCCACTCGCTGTTTCTAAGGGGTATACTGGGAAGGTGTGCAATAGACCCTCCAAGAGTTGGGAATCCAAAGGTTTATCTTCTTGGTGATCTGGATAGTTCCTGAAAGTTCTGAGCTGACTGTCATTTAATAAAATTTCTGAAATCAGCAACTGTCAATTACCCATCATCCAGAAAAGTCTAAACAGCTCTGTTCTCCAGTAAGGGATCTTCTCCGAAAAAGAGGTGAAACATTATATGGGAGAATTACTCTTGGATTTAACACAGTTGATTTCTCTTTCAGAGAAAACGATAGCATCACCTTGCTCTTACCTTGCGTTGCCATCACGATCTCCTTCACTCTCCGATACTGGTTTAACAGCCCTGTAAGCTCTTCTATCCGACGGTCCTTTGATGGTACAAGAGGAGATTTAGATTAATTAACACCACTTCTAGCATCTTAGATGATTTCATCCTAGGGTCCAGGCTACGTTCTGAGCACAATGAGAAGAAATCGCATGTGGGATGCACAGAGCACTCCAAAGGAAAAGAGTCCAGGCCCCATCCCACAGAGCTGAGATTTCAGTGATCTGCCTCATAGGAAACTGCAGGCACTCAAGTTCAAACCTGACACTACCTGAAGGCTATGGGTCAACAATAACCATCCGAGACACCCTTCACAGGGCTGAAACATTTTCAGGAGCATGAAACTGTCTCCCTACTGCCCTGAAAAAGTCATTGAAATCTGCCTCCTGGTCTGAGTGTTGCCCTCTTGAGCTACACACACACACAAAAAGACTAAAATAAAGCTTTTGTACTTATTCCAATATTCTCACCTGCTCCCTTATACTGTAGAGGAAATTTTCAGAGGAGATTATTTCTTTCAAGGCAAAGGCCTAGGAACTTAAATCCTGAAGTTCCACAAACTTTGGTGTGAAACTTCACTCTGCTATTTAATAGTTACCTGACTTTGGACAAAATTACTTAAGCACTTTGAGCCTGTTTCCTCATCTGTAAAATGCAGGGTGATGATCTTTGGAGATAAACAATGTTTGTACCAGCCAGGTGCTCTCTAATTATAGAGGTGGCTATTTTATGATTATTTGAAATTATATGTGAAGAATGTAAGGTGGCAGAGTAAACTGAGGTACTGCATGCTTGCAAGTATCTCTAAGATGGTTTTATCATCAGATCATACACTTTGGACCATTCCAAAGTTTTGCTCGGTGTCCCAGTAGGAGCTATGATATTGGTAGTACCACTGAAGTATTTTTTTCCCACACCAGCATAAACAGGCTGGGCCCCAACCTGCCTTTAGAAAATTCCATTTAGACAAAGTTCCCAGGCATCAAAGTAAAAAATGGGTGACTGAGGTAGTCTTTAGGAGGCAGAAGTGGTTTTCCTGGCACATTCCTGTGTTGATGGATTAATGGGCATGACGCTGTCCAGTATATCAGAGACCAGCAGGGACCAAACAGAGCCAGGAATGTCCGCTGGGAAAGGACAAAGCTGGCCAATTTACCTTATCTTCATTGGCAACAAGCAAAGTTTCCATCCCCAGTTTCAGGCGTTGAATTTCTTGATCTAAGAGATGGAGGTGTAGAAAGAATTATTTATACAAAAGCAAGCAGCTGCTCACACTTCTGAGATGCCCCTCAAGTTCAAATTTAAAGACTTTCCATGTGGCCATGGCTTGCTTGCTTATTTTATTTATTTATTTATTTAACATTACATATTGGTTGGAACCTAAATAAATGAACTTAATATTTTGTCTTCCCTTTATAGACATCTTTGGGTAAAATCAAAGTGCATGTACTCAATAGTAACACAGAGGAACCCCAAAATCTTTCACAACCAAAATTTTCTTAAAATACAGACATTCTTATAATTTACCAAGTAGGCATGTACCTGGGCTGCTGACTGATTTTAAAGAAAATCATATAGGCTAATAGACAGTAGGCAGTGGAATAATTAAAATAAGAAAAAAAAAGTCTACAGTTCAATGGAGACCAGGAAATAACAATTATGTAAAAGAGATGGATACTTGGCTTTAAGATGGTACAGTTAAATGACTAACAAATATTTAGAAGCATCAATAAACACGTTCAAACAAACTATATGGCTAAGGAAAAACAACCTTTATTTCATTATAAACCTACAGAATTTCCCTATGGCTGAGGGATCTGTGTCAGCTGTAGTGGAAAACCCAAGACCTTCTCTTACTTGGAATCTAACAGACTTCTTCCCAAACTGTTCTGGAGAGTCAGGTCAAAGGCCAGTGCCAAAGGAATTGCCACATAGCTAGATTTTCCAAAGAATGATTTACACCTACCCCTAAACATAATACTACAAAGGGGATAGGGATATCTATATAAGAAAAGTACAGGAGATAAGGAGCATCCTTATGAGATGCTTGTTACATTCAACAAAAATAGCAGTGGTAGATCTATGGGCTTTGTGTAAATAGTTGTAGGGATGCATTTTCAGAGCAAAGTAAAGATTACTTGCTCATTATTTTAGGCTCCTAACAGCTGAATCAGCTCTACAGCTCAGTTTGCAAGAGAAGGGCAGTAAGATCCAGACGAAGACTGGCAATTTTTGTGAGTGTGTGTGTCAGAATCGCACTCTGTCACCCAGGCTGGAGAGCAGTGGCACACTCACCATCACCCCAGCATTGACCTGCTGGGCGCCAGTGATCCTTCTGCCCCAGCCTTCCAAGTAGCCAGAACTATAGGCACACGCTACCATGTCCAGGTAATTTTTGATTTATTGTAGAGATGAGTTGCCAGGGCAAGTCTCGAACCCGTGGGCTCAGACAATCCACTTTCCTCGGCCTCCCAAAGTGCTGTGATTATGGGCTGAGTCACCAAGCCTGGCCAAGACTGGCAATCTTAATTCATTGGTCAAAAACCAGCTTGAGCAGCAAATGACCAAAGGACCAGCTCTAGGAGGCACCCAGTGATGGAGCAAGGTAGGCTTGAACTGTGGAGAAGCATGCAGTAGAAAGGAAAGCCTGCCTGGCCTAGAAGTAATGGCATGGGGCACTCTGTGTCCAGGCTTGTCATCAGAGATAATCCAGGGTGTCTCAGTAGAACTCAGCCTCCATAGGCCTTGGCAGGTAGGTGACACACTCAATGGTTTAAGGAAGATATTGAGAAAGGCTGGGGGAGGGCAAGCATGTTGGTCACTAATTTGCTTTTCCCCTAAGCCATTGTTGCATGGCTTCCATACCCCAGGTGGAGATTCAAACTAAGCAGTGCTGAGACTGCGATGAGACTAGGTAATGGCACCAATCCATAAGAGATCTCTGGCATTGCTCTGTAGCTCGGTGGCAAGTGGAGAAGTTGGAAAGTGTATGATTATTTGTATATATGGTAAGTAGCCATAAATATAAAACATCTATTCATAAGAGTAGTTGATGATTTACTCTCTATTTTTAACTAGTAAGATTTGAACTCCTTAGGGACAATTCACCATCTTTTCGCTTATTCAAGAAATATTTCTTAGGAGCCTACAGTGGGTCAAATATTATGCTGGGCTCTGTGAATATGTGCTGTGAATAAGAAAGATACAGTCCTTGCCCTGGTGGGGATGACATGAGATTTCCCAAAACATAATGCTGATAAAGTTATAATAAGTGCTATGAAGGAAACAGGAAGAATGTTGAGTTAGAGACTCAACATAGGACTGAGGGCACTTATTGAAGTAGGGTGGCCAGGAAAGGTCTTTCTGAGAACTTTGAGACATTTGAGAGCTAAAGAATGAAAAGGAACTGATTTGTTTCTGTAACCTCAGGGCCTTGTATGAGTGTAAGGAAGGTATCCATGCAATGACTGAATAAATTGCTAAACTTTCCCTTTGGTGATCACACAGAAACAAGGCCTTCAATCAAATGAAAGAATCAGGTATTTTCCAATTCTCAGTAAAAGCTCCAGAGATGGCTGCACAGAGTTTCAATTCATACTGTGCCTCTGAGAAGACTTCAGAGCCAAATCTTCTGGTTAGAGTAGAATTCCGTGGCAATAATATCATGACAGAGCTGTGTTTTATAGGCATTCATGCACACACATGCACATATGCACATGAACACATGTACATCCATTCACTTGGATATGCTTGCACACATACATGCATATATGTGCACATTGGCATGCCTACACACACAAGTATACACACACTCATTCATAGAAACACATGTCCACTTATAAGAGTGAACCCAGGGCCCAGGACAACTGCGTCCTGTCACAGTCAAGTCAGTCACCTCTTTCTGCATGGTCACCATGGAGAACTGCTGTCCTGGAGAGCTGGCTGTGCAGACGCTCAATTTCTGCATCCTTCAGGGCCACCTGCTCTTGCAGCTGGGCTACCTCAGCCTGAAAGAGCAACAGAGGATCTCTATAAGGTCAGAAGAACTGCCAAACCATGATGGGCCCTAGGATACATTAGGAGTTACAAGCAGAACTGAACAGAGGAGGGCCTCATTGTCCTCATCACAGGGTGGAATTCTACTGGATGAACCCACTCTTCCAGGCCATTCTGGTCCTGCCTACCGCTCTGCCCATCAATGTGCTCCTTCCCCTGCATTCTCTACCTGACCAGGCTCTTTCTCTCCCCTGCCCTGTGAGGCCTAGATGACCTGAGGTCCACGGAGCTGGGACTGTGTGCAATGGGAGGGCTGCCCTTGGTACAGAGGAGGATATTCTCTTTCTGGATGTGGTCTACCTTCTCCCAAGGTATTCATGCAGCAGCATTTAGAAGCACCACTGTAACAAGTGCATGCAGCTTTCCTCTTTCCAGTCCATACAGGAAATACAGAGGCAATCAAATTACTACTGGCAGAGAAAGGGTGAGCCAAGGGCTCCCTCCCACCCTTTGGGCACTGTCACTGCCTCTGCCCAATCTCCAGGCACGAGTGCATGCTCACCCACATATACAGATATACAGCATTCAGGAGTGCTTAGCCTATATACCTTTGCCAAAAAAGCATGTAAACATAGCACAAAGGCACACACACATTCATACAGGCACATATGGGCAGCTGCATTGAATGATTCTCATATCTGCACTAATTATAACAGGTTAAATTTCACACATAACACTAGTCCATACTTTTCCATACTCATTAGTAAAATTGAGTATGTTGCCTCCCAAAAGGCACTTTGGCTTTGGAGTCAAACAAACCTGAATTCTCTCATTTCCTAGTTGGGCAAGTAAGTTAACCTTTCTAGTTTCAACTTATCTATAAAGTGGGAGAAAATAGCAACTACTCTATGGGACTTCAGTGAGTGTTACGTAAAATAATGGTATGACAACTTAGCCCAGAATTTAGTATATACTAAATGCTCAGTAAACGCTACTACTATTGCTCCTCTCATTCTAGTCCTTCCCTTATGAATCCAGTTCTCTGAGAATCAAACCAAACAAGAAAAAGGTCGAGAACTGACCCTTGAGCTTGTTAATGGACAGCAAAGGCTTCTACTCTGGTCATTCACTTCCTATGCTGTAGCCCAATTACATCCCACCTTTGGTCATCAAGGTTATGATATGGGCTGCCCAATACCACAGAGACCCAAGCTACTCTCTGAACAACCCCAAGAAACCAAATGAGCATCAGCCCTGTTGGTGGCTCCTCTGCCAGACAGGCCTTGTGTTCAGTTTTACCACTGAGCACCCACTCTGTGTCAGCCCCTGCACTCATTGCTTTCTTACATCAAATCTTGCCTTATTCTCACAAGAAACCATGGGAGAAAGCCCATATCTCAGGTGTAGTACAGGATTCTGTGTTAAAGTCACAGAGGTACTGAGTGACTAGACCAGGATGCAAAACCCGGCTTCAATGCCAGGACTCCCAAACCCACCTCAAGGATTTCTAAATAAACCTTCTTCCCTTACATTCCCAAAATGGGACAAGGGGTGACAAGGGGTAGGGTGTCCTTACTCCAAAGTTCACAGTGACATACTGACCTGCTGTTCTGGGCTCCACCCACAGAGGCCAGAGAGCTGGGCCCTGCCACACTGTTGGCACACACTGGGCCCTGCCACACTGCTTGCTGAGTCATGCAGTCACAGAGCAGCTTTCCAGAGCTCACTTAAGGCTGAAGTGCCCATGGGCTTATGATTCATGGTGACAGTGGCTTCTGAGGCATGAGCTTTGGGACTCTCAACCCAAATGACTCTCATTTTTACAAGGTCCAAACGATTTTTGGAATACAGTCCCCTAACCTTTCTTGCATCTATATCCATTTCTCCCTTTCTTTGCAGACAGGATGGGTGCTGGTATCTGTTAGGAATTTGGATACCTGATTCTTGTCTGCTGGTTCCATGGGTGGACTTCAGCAATGTGGGTCTAATGAGACAGAGCCCAGCATCTGGCACTAGGCGGTCTCTTCTGTCTGAGGCCAGCCTCTGAGGGAGGTCAAATGGGTATATACTATGGAGTCTATAGACCAAGTGACTGGGCGCAACCTTTCTTGTGCCAATTTCCACAGAATAGGCAGGAACTATAGGTACACTGTTATCTCTAGAGTCATATCTATCCCCACAGCTGAGAAGGTCAACAATGACCCAGAGATCCTCTACTTGACTATAGGGCAAAGGATGCTACTGCCATCCCTGCCACAGCCTCTGCCACTGCCACCATGGTCAGAGTTATGTGGCAAGAGGACCAAGACAGCCATATAGACTGGCAGTCAGGCAGGGATATGTACCCTGGGTACCTGCAATTGTTGTGTCTCATATTAAACCCAGGGACCATGTCCTACTATCACTGCACTGGAAGATGAATCAGCAGTAGAGGCCAAGAAGCCCTAAGGAGAAAAACGAAAAACTTCTCCAAACAGTGGTTTTCCCTGCAGGAAACCAGGATGATAAGGGAAAGAGAGCATGAGGGCATGAAAATGACACAGACCCAGAAGCGAACCTCACTTTGGCCACTCTGAGCCTGTTTTGTTCCCAGTAAGATGAGAAGAGTAAAATGTACCTCACTAGGTTATTTAATGGATTCAATGAAAAAAATGTGTACAAAGAGCTTGGTACACTCTGGCATACAGAAGGTGCTTTTCACCTGGTGGTAACTAAATAACACTTAGTATCTCAAATGTCTACATGCTAAGGCAAAGAGCTTTGGTAATTTAAAAACAGGAGAGTTGTTTGGTTTTATTACAGAGGGTGGTATGTACAACTTCAAAAATTTCACTAAGACAGGACTCGTTTGGGTACAGCATTCTGATGGAAGGTTCTGAGCTACTGGACAAAACCAGCGCCCCTAGAACTGATGACCACGAAGCACAGCACATACAAGGGTACACTCAGATAAAACAGACCAGGAGACAGATGGATCTGATTGTCTGGGTTGGTGCTAACTAGCTGTAAAATCCTGGAAAAGTTATTTAATCTATCTATGCCTCAGTTCCATCAATGTAAAATGGTCAAGCAAATCATTTTACATGTATATGGTTTAGTATTATATGGCTATTAACATCATGTTCGGTGTTTTTATAACATGGAAACGCAATTTTTTAAACAAATATCAAAACTTGAGAGAGAGACACACTGGGGAGGGGAGGAAGGGAGAAAGGGAGGGAGAGGGAGAGGGAGAGGGAGAGGGAGAGGGAAAGGGAGAGGGAGAGGGAGAGGGATCCAAAAAGAAAGAGAAAACTATCTGGAAGCAAATAGTAACAATAGATAACAGTAGCTCCTGGGTGGTATGAGTGCTTTTTATTCTTTTAATTTTTATGGTTTGAAAATTCTCTATAATGAGTGTTATTGCTTTTGTAATCATTAACAATTAACTGGCAGAAAAAATAAAAATACAAACTGTAAGTTAGAAGAACTCCAATAAGAAGCCTTAAACTCTAAAAAGAAGTAAAAATAAAAACGACTACAGGGATCACCCAGTAACACCCTTGAATGGTGCTGTAGACACCTTAGGGAAAGGCAGTGTGTGCCCTGCTCAGGATCCCTCAAGTGTTTAGGGTTGGCAGAACTCCCACCCCTCAAAGAAATCTTAAATGTATTGTGATGTGAAACTTCCTGATGTTTTAATGACAACTGATTCATCATTTAAAAATACAATGTGCAGGTCAAAAAAAAAAATAAATTCAGTCCAATAGTTTCACTCTCTGCACTTCAACTAGTATAGAAAAAGAAGAAAGAGGGCAACCCCTTTGGGTCCCTTCCCACTGTGGGAGCTTTCTGTCCTCTCAATAAATCCTGCTTTAAAAAAAAAAAAAGAAAAAGAAAGAAACAAAGGAAGGAGGGAAGAAATTTATTTCACAATAGAATTTATACTTAGTGTTCTTTAAATAGCAAGCTCCTCAGTTTAATGGAAGCATGATTTGATTGAAGAAATAATTTGAAGTTTATATTTTAAGAATACATTCATTGCCCAAAATAAAGTATGCCTATTTAAAAAAAAAAACCAAAACTAATTATCAAAGGGACTGCTAAATTTAAAATGATGCACCCAACATCTTCTTTAGTACCCATCACTCGCTAGCTGCCACTCACTTGCTCGCTCCTTGACTCCCTGACTCCCTCCCTCCCAGCCCCTTCTTGGCCCAACTTCAGCTAGGTGCTATGGAGCTCAAGGAGTGGAAGCAGATGTGGTTACTGCACTTCAGCAGGCTTTCTCCACAAGGAGCTTTCCTGGATCAAATCTGTTTGCTGTTCTATCTGGGCACTGCAGCATGTCCACACAATGAGGCTGATTTGCATTTTCAAACTTAGGCTACTGGAAACCCCGAGTTTGAACACACTCTCCCCACAAGGATCAAAACCGTCTTTACCTTAGTGGCCTTCAGCTTCCACTCATACTGATTCCGTTCATTTTCCAACTCTTCCACTTTGATTTTGAGGTGCCTGAGCTCTTGTAGTAACTCCTATAGGAATGAGGGAGAAAGCAAGGTTCTGATGGTTAACGGGCATGCCCCAGATTTACAAATCTGGTTAAGCTCATGCATAGAGGATACAGCAACCGTATCAAGCTCCACACTGCAGCTTTAATCTTTAAACATGGTCCTCATATCAGGAAAGCTGCACGGTCATTTAAAAACCAAGGCCAGGGAATTCCAGATGTGAGAAAGCTAAAACTTTCCTCTTACTTTTAAAAATCTGTTCTGCCTGCACCTTTTTTGGACATCGTGTCCTCTAGGGGTATGCCAGCATCATGCACAGGTATGTAGGAGGTCAGGCAGGTAAGGATTCAGAGATGCAGAAATGAGACAGCTTCTTCCTTTGGGATGCAGACAAAGTAGTAGGAAGCAGACTAACTGGGAGCATCTCTCTGTGCAGGGGATGAAGGAACCCAGAGGAGGTGGCTGGTGATCCTGGAAGGCTTCACAGAGGAAGTGACAATCATCAAGATGGAAACGAAACCCTAAGGAAAGCAAATGCTAAGTGCCAAATGTAGACACCAGTAAAAGTGTTCCAGTACAAAAGAGGAAACTGGTTTGAAAAATGGAGGGAGGCATAAGGCATCCAGGGTAAAGATAGGAGACAGAAAAGGACATAATCCTCTGCAGAGGATGGGTGTAGGCGCATAGTGGGAGATGAGGCTGGGAAGTTAAACTGGGAAATTAAGTGTTGGGATGAGAATATAAGTTCTGATGCTAGCTTTGGATAGTAGGGAGCTACTGAAGGTTGCCGAGTGGGGAATTGATATTTAAAACACTTTGCCCATGTTCATGCAGCTTGTTAAGTGGTGGAGTTGACATTCAAGACCATATCTTGTCACCCCAGTGCCCCTGCTTTTGAAACAACCCCTTTAATAAAGAAGACAGCACTGTTGTCTTGAACCAAGATTCTCTTAATAGACAATTGGTCCAGCTGACTAGTTCCTATCAGAAAAACTGGCATAAAGGTAGTTATTTTCATAGGTTTTCTGAACTCCAGACTTACACAACTATCTTCCTACTTAACATTTCCACATGAATGTTGCAAAGGAATCTCAGGACTGTCACATCCCTAGTGGAATCCCAAATTCCCCTTTCTAGTTACCCTTGTCTCATCAAATGGCATATCTGTCCATCTAATGGTCTATGATAGAAACCTGGGATCTGTCTTAGGCATCTCCCTCTCCTTACATATGCAATTAGTCCCCAAGCCTTATTAATTCCACTTCCAGGAAAACAACTTGAATGTCTCATTTCTCTTCGACTCAACTGCCACTACTTTGGTCTAGCACTTAGCATTTGCAGCCTGGATAGTCTGTTTATTGGTTTTCATCTACTGTCTTGCCCCTCTTGAGTCCATTGACCCTCATGCAATCAGGAGAACAAGATTAAAGCACAAATCTAATTGTGGCACTCCCCTGCTTCTCAAGGCACATACACTTTTACGCATGACCAACAGCCTGTCCTTACCCAGCACCCCACCTGCCTCCTGGATCACTCTTTCTCCACAGTTATTCTCTGGCCACAAGGTTAATTTTTAGTTCCCTTTTCCAACTTCGGTTTTCTCAGACAGTATTCCCTCGTCTGGAACTTCCCACTAGGTTAACTCCTGCCAGTCTGTCAGGCCTTCCTGAGCAAAGCTATCCCAACCTCCATACTTCATCAGGGCCCTGGCTATACTCCTTTGTTGTGCTCTGTGTGACTCATACACAGTTTGCAATTAAATCCTTATTTGTATGATTGATAATGGCTAGTTCTCCTCACACATAGAAGGTGTACACTATTTGTCAATAAATAAACACATGAAACTCAAGTCATTCTTTCACTGGCCTGGAGGTCTTGGCCTTCTGAGACAAATCCGCCAAGAAGTGACACGGTTTACTGTCAAATTCTGTAGAGTAATTTATTAAGGCTGCCTTATAGTTGAGGTGAGCATTTGCTGATGTCTGTTTAAAATATTATCTTTCAACCTGAGGTTACTGTACCCATGATACGCACCACCAGGTTTCAAGGCTTTGGTCACCTGCTTTGACTTGCAGCAGACACAGAATCATTTTCTGAGAACATTACTGGGGCTGCCTGAGGAACCCCAATACCCAGAAGTTGAGAGTTTTTCTGGCTAGGCTTGTATCCTAACCAGGCTTCTCAGTTTGCCCTGAGAGGGTACCAGGCCTGCTGTTACCAGAATCAGACTGTGCAGGTTACTATTGCCTGAGGGGCTGCCACTTATAGGGACACAGAGATCATGCTCTCCAGGATCTGTGATCTCTCTGGCACAGCCTCCTCCTTCTATGCTTTCTTTTGGCTGATCATGGGCTACCAACACTAGCATATGTTTTTTTCTTTTTCTTTTTCTTTTTTTTTGAGTCAGTCTCACTCTGTCACCCAGGCTGGAGTGCAGTGGCATGCTCACGGCCACCCCATCATCGACCTGCTGGGCTCAGGTGATCCTTCTCCCTCAGCCTTCCAAGTAGCCGGAACTACAGGTGCACACACTACCATGCCCTGCTAATTTTTTGATATACTGTAGGGATGAGGTCTCACCAAGTTGACTAGTATACATTTTATCTTCCTTTAGAAGTCTTGCTGGAATAACCTATTCAATATGGGACATGCCCTAACACCCTCTCATGGCTTCCCTATCCCAAGCTACACTCACATCTTGACTTTGATTTTGCCCCCATCCTTTAATGTATAACAGCAGGAAATCTTCCTCACCTGAACCCTCCTCCAATGCCTAAGACTGGGTAGAGATTTTTGACAGGTTCCATAATTGAGTGTGGATCATAGTAACTTCCCACAGAACCAAGGTACCCTCTGTAGTGCTCAAGGCTACTATGACCATGGCCTTTTTCTGGAGGGGGGCTTGCAAGAACCCTTCAACAACAGGCTTAGAGGCACAAGGCTCATCTCTGCTGCGTCTGCCATCACCTGGCATCAGCAAAGTCATAGAGGACCAGGTCACTCCAGTATGAGAAACCAAGTCCAGAATCCCAGCCAGATAACCCCATATGGCCCACAGGTTATAAATCACCCTGTTGTGATTATGTGTAAGAAATTTTCCTGGAAATTCAGATGATGACTTAATTGTTCACAGTAAATGGAAACTTAGGTTTTATTTTCTCACTGGGGGTAAACCTCCTTAAACATAAACTTAAAAGGATTTTTTCCATAAAGTTATTTTTTCCTTAAACAAACAAACAAACAAACAAACACAAAGAATCATATGAAATGATGCTTTATTTAATCTCCCAGCCCAGGAGAAAGAACCAGTATCTGGATTATAGATCTGGGGAAGAGAATCTCGAGGTTTCCTTTTGCACAAATGCCCCATCACTCAGAGGGTCTGGTACACCTCATTCCCAGCCCCAGGGGAGATGGGTGCCCTCACCTGTCTATGGGTTGGCCTCACTTGCTCAGTGAGGGTCACAGAGCTTACCTCACATCCCAAGAAGAGTGACTCCAAGCATTGCCTAAAGGTAACAACAGATCCATGCTAAGCCACCACACTCTGCTCTGGTTAGGAGAAATCCCAGCCCCTCCACAGTGAAATGCTCACACACGCATGCTCTGTTATACTTAAGTATGGTTCCTACAGGTGACCCCTCCCAACGGGCACAGTCTTGGCTGCAGGGCTGGGGCTCGGCTACAGCGTCGCTGGCCACCACCTCCTCGGGGTGGTCCCTACTGAGTAACAGGCGTTCTTGAATCTGCCTGTGGATGTCCAGCTGCAGCCTACACATCTGCTCCTGCAGCTCACTGATCACATTCAGAACCGACTGTAGGAAGGAAAAGAAAGGAGAGAAAAGCACTCAAGGTCAGCCATGGAACTACGTAAGGGAGCAGCCCAGAAGGAAGTGTGCACAGTGGGGGCAGTAGGTGGCACCCAGTGGTTGATGTCAATGGCCATCCACTTTTCTTCACAGGCACCCGATGCCTGCCCTACCCAGAAATTTGTCTTGCAGTTTGAACAAGCCCCTAACAGCTCCTTTGTGCCACACTGTCATGTCTACATCTGAAGTAGCCCTTCATCCAAGCAGAAGCAACGGCAGAGATAGATGGGTGCACAACAGAGGCACACACATGAACACATCCCCATTCTACACATGCTAACTCCCTTGCCCAAACAGCCAACATGCCAACATTCATGCACAGGAGACATTTGGCACACATCACACTTATACATGATCATATGTCCCTAACCCTAAACTTAGACAGGTACCAGTATATCTATGTTAGCATTTATCCTATATTCATCCATCTTTTCCAAAAGACTATCCCAAGCAATGTTTTTCCAGTGCTTTACTGATGTTTGAATTACCTGATCTACCACGACAAGACACATTCCCAGTCAAACCAATGAGGCCAATCTGATGTGACTCACTCCTAGAGGACAGGGATCCCTACTTTGTCTTCCAGCTTCCTGCAAACTATCACAGGGTTAACTCCAAACTTAATAGACCACATTTATAGAACCCATCAAACTTTTCTTGCCATTTTGAAAAGCAACAAGAAAATAGTTCATTTCTAGGTTTCTAACTTGATTTTCCTGATCACTTAAAATTCACCTACAGCAAGCACTGGGGACTGCTGTCCTAAGCTTTTTGTATTGTCAGAGGCATCAGTGGAATCAAGTCCCTTCTTTCTTTGATCTTCTTATTAAGAACACAACTTTTTTTTTTTTTTTTTGAGTTGGAGTCTTACTCTGTCACCCAGGCTGGAGTGCAGTGGCATGCTCCAGGTCACTCCAGTATCGACCTGCTGGGCCCCAGAGATCCTTCCACCTCAGCCTTCCAAGTAGCTGGAACTACAGGTGTGCACTACCATGCCCAGCTAATTTTTTATCTATTATAGAGATGAGGTCTTACCAAGTTGCCCAGGCAGGTCTCAAACCCATGGGCTCAGGCAACCCACTTGCCTCGGCATCCCAAAATGCTGGGATTACAGGCTGAGCCACTGAGCCAAGCTGAAGCCCATAACCTTTTTTT